GCTGAGCCCGGCCGGGCCCCATGAGTGTAGGCCCGGCCACCGGGCGCTCGCCAACGAGCCCCGCCTCCAGGCCTGGCTCCAGAGGGGGGCCCCGGTGACCCGCGTCCGGGCAAGGGAAACTTCGATCCATTAATTGTACTCGTCATAAGGGGTCTTTGAGCCGTGCTTTGTCTGGTCCCTCACCTAGAACCTGTTTGCCATGGGTGACCCTGCCAGGGGCATAAAGCCCCGGACAACTTAGCTCCTAGGATCATTGGGACACACAAACCCCTCCACCACGGTAAGGTGACGGCTCACGGAGGGGCACTCTCTTTTATTCATTTAAAAATGCTTAGCGCTGTAGGGGGTACAGTACTTGGATGAAATAAAATTTCACAGCAGGGACATCATTGAAAAAAGGTTGAGAACCACCGGTGCAGTGTATAGCACATAATACGTCACAGTGATTATGGGAACTGGTCAAAAATGTCCAATATGGGTATGTCATTACTGTATTTTGATACTCAAGCACTAGCTTTTTTTCAGGGACTCGGATGTTATTCATATTTTCACTATTAATGTTTATACACACTCGCTAATACAATGAAGGATAATGAATTTTCCATGGTGTGTCGCTTTAAATTCTTCAATCTCCTTTCATTTGTGGTGCGATGAGAAGAAAAAAAGTTGTGGTTAAAGTTAAGGTTAAAGCATAAAACATGTTCACATATGTACGAGTCGCCCCAGCCCACTTGCTCGTATTTACCTGGAGTACATATCCGCGTATGTAGTCCTGTAGCGTCCAGTCAAGTGCATTAAGGATCTTGATAACCTCTTCCTGTTTGAGCACTGAAAGAAGGCGGTCCAAGAGAATCTTCAGGCGTATGGGAATAGCTTGTGTCCCATAGAGCATCAGGCTGCAGATGTCAAACACCACATTGGAATGCACAATCTCCACCTGGCCGTTCTGATACATGTGGTGCAACTTCAGTTTACTCAGAGCTAGAACAAATACACAAAATTTTGAATCACATTCCCTGGATGACACATTTACAGTACAGTAACACAGAACAGCGTGTTGGTTTTCAATAAACATTTCAAGATTATAATAGGACAAGTATGATTGTAATGCAGGTTTGAAACACACTTCTTACATTTTCTATCCATTTTGGCCAACTTGGCTTGTGGAATAACCCAAGTAATAAATGCAAAAATGTGTAAAATATATATATTTATACAGCCAAAATGTATATTTCTAGCATATTGTGTATATGAATTTGATATAACTGTGCCCCAAAATGATTTGCCACAGGGGCATTAGTAATGTGCATATGATTTATCATATTTTAGCCTACATTATTTGGTATAAGGTAAATTAATGGCATCATGGAGAGGGCAAAACATTTTTATAACGTGCAAATTCAAACAATGTACAATGGAACCTCAACTTACAAACATCCCTTTTTACATACAAATCGATTTATGCACAGTTTTCATAGAAAAATTACCCCATTTACATACTGATTTTGATACTATATATGTATGGTCTTGGCATGGACGAATGAATGAATCTATGTATATCTTTGTACACATTGTCACATATGCAAATATGTAGTTGTGCTTTGCGGTGGTGAAGTGACATCTTTTGCAGCAGAACGTTTTATGTCAGTATGGTTTACGTGCCAAGATGAGGTTTATGCCAACTGTTCCTGTCACAACTAGTAAAGAGAATTCACAAATATACTTGATTTGGATCATTCTACATGGTGTCAAAAGTGGGAGTACTTGCCGAGAAGACAATTCAGCATGGCGACATGTAATCCGCTGACAAGTTTTTTGTTCAATAATGGCCGGACTGGAGGCATCGTTTCTAATGGGTCAGGCTCACAACAAAGCTGGACAAGAATGACAGCAAAGTACAGGTGCGCTGCCTAATATACTGTGTGCCATTGGCAATGAGTTGATTCATGTTTGCCAAAGAGGGCCACGGAGATGATTTCAGCGTTGTGGTGAAAAAGTTAGTGGCGGCCCGGTAGTCCAGTGGTTAGCACATCAACTTCACAGTGCAGAGGTACCGGGTTCAATTCCAGCTCCGGCCTCCCTGTGTGGAGTTTGCATGTTCACCCTGGGCCTGCGTGGGTTTTCTCCGGGTACTCCGGTTTCCTCCCATATTCCAAAAACATGCATGGCAGGCTGATTGAACACTCTGAGTGTGGGTGTGGATGGTTGTTCGTCTCTGTGTGCCCTGTGATTGGCTTTCAACCGATTCAGGATGTCCCCCGCCTACTGCCCGAAGACAGCTGGGATAGGCTCCAGCACCCCCCGCAACCCTTGTGAGGATAAAGCGGTTCGGAAAATGAATGAATGAATTAATGAAAAAGTTAATGACTACATTTTCCCGCGGAGGAACGTTATACATAGGAAGGCCTGTTTCCAACATCTCAAATACGGGTGGTGTGGAGAAAGATGTCAACAGTAGACTTGGTAAAGCTGCGGGAGTGTTCCAACGCCTCCGCAACATCTGGTCATCGAAAGCCATCACTACGACCACCAAGATACGCCTCTACATGTCAGTGGTCATCCCAACAGCGATTTACGCCTGTGAGACATGGA